GGAAGCCATCGAATACAGTGCAGCAATGAATGTAAGAGAAGTGTGAATGTGAAGAAGGGCATTTCAGTGTTGTTTTTAATTCCATTCTTAGAGCAGTTTGGCAAAATCACTTTGAAGCAAAGGCTTTGTCACTTCAATACGTATTAGCAGCTCCTCAGAGCAATAGGTTTGCACGTTCCTGCTGGCTGCAGGCCGAGTTGGCTGCGCTGTGGAAAGCAGTGGTGCTGCCCAGCCCCTTGGGTGGGCCACGAGCAGGCAGTGCCGTATCAACAACTGCACTAATTCTGCCTCCTCTGGGTTTTCCAAAAGCGCTTTGGAGCAGGGATGCCCGGGGTGGCTCCTCTCAACTGCCACTGCTTTCATATCACTGCCTTTCCACTCAGCTCTAGCCTATTTTCTTCATTACTTATGCTACTATTCTTGGATCTAGTTTATACTCGGTTCTGACTAAATTATCATTTCTCTGAATTGTAGTTTTAATGCTGAAAACTTTGTTTTCTAAATGATTATTTTGAGGAAAGATATCTTTTGGAGTCATAGGCAGCATTACTGAACTCTTAACTTGCACGCTGTGTTGGTATTTTTCTTGTCTTTATCTACGTCAAGTACTCCATTAAACACAACCGTGTCTCCTTGCTTGTGTGTATCTGTGTGTACATATATATATATGTGTACACACACACACACACACTTTTTTTTTCTTACATATATTTATGATGCTTATATCCTTATCCTTAGTTTTGCTGCTTTTCACTTTTGGACTCGGATTCAAACCTTGTTTATAAGTTTTAATTATCAATATATTAATAGTATTATTAGTTTATAAATACTGTAACAACTCACCTAATTCAAGTTCAGTGATTATTGAAAGTCTCCTTTCTGTTGACCTTTTGCCAGACTAGATAACAAAACCTCACTATGCGTCAGCCGCTCTTAACACAGTGAGATTAGGTAAGATTACGTAAAACTGCAAGTACTTCTGAGCTCTTAAATTGGGCTGCTTGTTCCCTAGGGAGATCAGGCCACTCATGGAGAACAAAAATTAGAAAAATAAACTGCTTAAGATAAAACTTAGAATTTGATCTTTGAAACTTTGGAAACAGGGGTGCAGGAGGCTGATTTGGCTCTTTCAGCTTTCTAAAATTACCCATGAGACTGAAGTCCAGTTGTTCCACTAGCCAGGATTAACTGTCTTCAGCTGTTGCCTGTGCTATTTGCTTTCTAGCTGCATAAAGAACTTTTTTTCTCCCCTTTTTCTATAAAAAATCTTGGAAATGGGCCTATAAAGTGTCCTGTCTGAAATTTTTGTTAATACTTCTTTCCAGAAAAAGTCATAGAGCCCACACTGCATTGTTAATTATTTTAATAGTTTCATTTTTGTTTTGTTTGAACAGGATGTAATGGTTGCTGGTGGAATGGAGAGCATGTCCAATGTACCCTATATGATGAACAGAGGAACAACACCTTATGGGGGACTAAAACTGGAGGATCTGATAGTAAAAGATGGGCTTACGGATGTTTATAACCATATCCATATGGTAAATGTCCTTTTAGCACAATAGGAAAGTGTCAGTCATAGACTTGATGCAGCTCTGATGAGTTTACATTTAATTATTTCTCTAACTTTCTCTAACACACCTGGAAATAACGTTAATGGGAGATGGACAGCATCTTTCTGTTCTAGGCTTCCTGTTGTAACTGAAAGGAGAGACCAGACAGAAGGCTAAAACATGGTAGCAAATCGTGTGTTCATCTTTATCTGCCTCTCACTGATACCTGAGGAGGACAGAGCAGGATTTAAAAAAAAAAAAAAAGTGAAATCCCAAATATTGCTATTTTTGTCCCTGGTAGATTGCTGGAGTTCTCTCTTTTCTAGGCATGGACTGAAAACCACTCGTGTTTCTGCTGAAAATAGATTTTAATTATGAGGATCTCTTTTTCTAGAAATATACGTAGCAGCTTTGCTAGTTCCTATGTGTGAAAAAAGCTGTAGAAGTTTGTTATAAACACGAAGTTTGACTAGACTGGGACAGTACTTTATGGGGAAAACCTTCTGTGTCCTGTAGCCTGCTTGGAAAATCTTGCTAGCGTGAGAATAGAGAGGAAGGGCTGTCCCAAGGCTGTCACAAGACTCTCTTCTCTATCCTGGCAACAGAGTAAGTTGCTGCTGAGAAGACTCTAAGTACTTTAACTGCACAGAATTTAACTTGCCTGTTTGAAGACCTGCAGGACTGTAGCATGAAAGGCTCTGGTGGTGACTTGCTGGGTTTCCTTTAGAAATTAGACCAAAGAACAACAATTAGACCAATTATGTGTTTAAGCAGAAATCTTTCAAGCTTACTCATTGAGTATCCATTTTCTTTTTTTTTTGTTACCAGGTATTTAGATGGTCATAATGAATTATGATTGCATAGTTACAAACAGTATGATAAACTTATATAGAATGATTTGATATTTTTCTGAATTCTGATTGTTAGTTATTAGACAGAAGGTATGCACACATATGCATTTTTCAGAGCATCAGAAGGTCCCAAAGGTTAAATAACCTCTGTGTTTTGGACTATTTTTTTAACCCTTGTACTAGACATGCTAAGAATGGAGTGAAAATATTGGTGTGATGTGAACACAGTGTTCTGTGATAGAGCAGTTTTCCTTGGGCTCTGAGTTCTTGTCCGAGTTTCTCTGCCAGTCCCTAAGCCCTTCAAGACTTAGTTCTGCATGCATTTTTTTGTGTCTTTTAAAAGCTTCGTAAGGAATATTCATAAGGAATAAGGAATAAGGATGTCCTGGTTGAGCTGTGGAGTTTCCCAGGGAACGCCAGAGCTGCTGTGCTGGGTTTTCCCGCAGGGTAACTGTGCTGAGAACACTGCCAAGCAGCTGAGCATCTCGCGGGAGGAGCAGGACACCTACGCCATCGGCTCCTACACCAGGAGCAGGACAGCCTGGGAGTCCGGAGCGCTCGCAAGTGAAATCGTTCCTGTCACTGTTTCACAGAAAGGTGTGGTGGAAAAGTGTGGCAAAGTCAGTTAGGTTTCTCACCCAACGCAGTAGAGTTGCCTGTTTACTGTGAGCTGCACCGTTTAAAGGCCCAGAATTCAGGAGAAATTAATAATATTTTAGATAAGAATTCTGCTTTTGCACTCTTTTCAGTGAAACCCACTCAGTGACCTGTGGTGTCTGTTTCTTATTTTCTTTTTCCTTAATGGTAAATATTGTTTTTGTTTGTTTTCTTCTCTTATGACTAGGTATTGAGTCTAGCTAGTATGACTTTAGCTGGCATGACATCTCTGTTTTAATTTCACTATTAGTTACCATACAGACATGTTCTTTATCCCTTTCATTCACTCACTGTGAAATTTAAATTAATTTGCTGTGAATAAACAGGATTAAGGAATAAATTTTCTCAGTTTTTACAAGCGTATTTCTTGATATGCATGAGTAAGTTTACATTTTTTAAATGTAAACTCTTTAAGTTGGTCAGCACTTGATCAAAATAATTCTTAAGAAAAGACTTTACTATAAATATGAAACATAATATCTGTTTCAGGAAAGCCAGATACAGAAGTGAAGGAAGATGAAGAATACAAACGTGTTGATTTTAGTAAAGTCCCAAAGCTCAAGACTGTTTTCCAGAAAGAAAATGGTAAATATTGTCATTTGCTATTCCTCTCCCTTTTTTTTCCCTTTAACACTAAGTGTAAAGATATTTTGTTATAGTGAAGAGCCCTATTTACAAGGACTTAGCTGTCCAGTAATAATCTCTAACTTTTAGATGCCTACTAAGATAAAGAAATATCCTAGCAGGAAACTGAAGTCTTGGCTCCACAGCAGCTTGAATTGGCTTGAATTGAAAGATGGTTCAAAAATTGTGTACGCCAGAGAGAATCTGTTTTGAAAAGTCACTTTACAGAGTCTCAGAACTGATTGGCTTCAGTTCAGCTCTTGCCTTGGTCTGTGCCCAGTGTAACTTTCTGTTGCAGTGAGAGCTGCTTTTACCTGCCCCTGTAACTGGCCGGTCTTCCTGGCTAAGTCACTTGTGTTGCCACTTGTTCACAGTCCCATCTCAGCTGAAATTTCTTGTAAAGCAGACATCACCCCTGGCATGGAAGCCACTGTCTGACCTACTGTTGGATATAGCTTGCACATAACAGCTGTTTGCTCATTTTAAGAAAACAAACTCCCCAAAATGTCATTTTCAGTTAGCTCAGTGCAACAAATATTACCATATTGTTGGGGCTGAAGGCTCAAGAGCTTGAAGAAGAAAAATGGCTTGCAGGGAGCCATGGCCCTTCCCCTGGGTTTAATGGGTGTGTTTTGACTTTCAGGAACGGTCACGGCCGCCAACGCCAGCACCCTGAACGACGGGGCAGCTGCTGTGCTCCTCATGACCACAGAGGCTGCCAAGAGGCTCCAGGTTAAACCACTGGCACGAATAGTAGGTAGGGTATTTTTTTTTTTATCCCTCTTCTTCAAGTACAGTCCTGGAAAATATTCCTACAGACTGGGAATCTTTTTTTGTCCTGTTATCTTTTATTCATGAGATGATAGAAAATTCTGGTTATAATCAAGAGCTGGCTTTTAAGCCACTTTAAACTTCAAATTGAGAAGTTGCAACCATAATACAACCTATAGCCTCACTTTTTCTATGTGAGTTAACAACATTTTCTGATGCTTAATATTATGCAGGTCAATTCTTTAGGCAATAAACTTACATGTGTCTATTATCAGAGACAATTATATTTATTTAGAATTTCTCTGTCTTTTAGCTTGATTTGCAATTTTCACAAACAGAAGTCCTTTGTGGTAAGAAAAAAACAAGTGTTTAAACAGTTTCTATGATTTTTGCAGCTTTTGCAGATGCTGCTGTGGCCCCTATTGACTTCCCAATCGCACCGGCTTATGCTGTTCCCAAGGTAGGAACAAACTCAGCGTTAGGAACAGCAAACGTTCCTAGGGCTGGATTGCTGGTTCATCCCTCAGTGGATTGGTACTGATGTAGTTGGGCTTTAAATTATAATTGCTTTATAAATAGCAAGAATATATATATTTTTTCTAAGGATCAAGGCTAAAATGTAAATTTTACAGAAAGAGAATTATGTGTCTATTTTGAAAATGAGTATTGTTCTGTACTCTTTGCCATCATAGGGCTTGTTTACAGTGTCAAAGCTTTGTAGCTAGTACAATTAAAAAGCAAAATAGATAACTGTATGAGTATGGACTCATAAAGCAAAAGGAGTATAGGCTGAAAGCAAAAGGCACTGCTGTATGAGTGCAAATGCAGTTAGTATAGCAATGGTCACAGTATAAAAGTGGGATGAAAATGTATTCTTTGCATGGAAGTGCTCTTCCTTTCTTCTGGGCTCCCCAGCTCAAGAGGGACATGGAGCTTCTAGGGAGGGTCCAGCATAGGGTTATGAAGATGATGAAGGGACTGGAGCATCTATTGTATGAGGAAAGACTAAGCGAGCTGGGCCTGTTTAGCCTGGAGAAGAGCAGATTGAGAGGAGATTTTATCAAGATGTGCAAATACCTGAGGGCTGATTGTAGGGAGGATCCCTACAGGAACAGGAAGTTCCATCTCCATGTGAGGAAGAACTTCTTTCCTGTGAGGGTGACAGATCCCTCGAACAGGCTGCCCAGAGAGGCTGTGGAGTCTCCTTCTCTGGAGATCTTCCAAACCCGCCTGGATGCCACCCTGTGCCCTGTGCTCTAGGTGTCCCTGCTGGAGCAGGGGGTTGGACTAGATGATCTCTAGGGGTCCCTTCCAACCTCAACCATTCTGTGATTCTGTGAAAACCTCTGTTTGTTTATGCTCCAGGTCTTCAGTTTGGCTATTTTCCCCCTGAGCAAGAGGCTCTGACGTGCAGAGCTAAAGCTCTTGCTTCACAAAGCAGAGGACCTGCTGGCACCTTTGTCATTAAATTTGGGAGCAGAGTTAAGGATGTGCTGTAGCCATAGCACCCTGCCTTGGTGTTTAGAAGGTTCTGGAATTGATTTTATTTATTTATTTATTTACTTTCTGTGTTCTGTGGATGCTGAACTTGTTTTGTGGATTTTGTAAATGCAAAAGTCAACTGTGGGCTCATACTTGCTGACCCTGATGCTGTAAATGAATGTCTGCTCCAAGCTCAGCTCAGTTGCAGTGTGAAGCAGCCTCAGGGTTTCACCTGGGTTCTCAGTGATCTGTAATGGCCTTAGCAAGCTCTGGGGGGTTACAGTTTTTAAATAGTTTTTCCTCTTAGTTGCAGTAGCATTTTAAAATTAGTTGGAGATGATAGGTCCAAGTTTACTAGGGAATTTTCAAGTTGCATTTCTAAAACAACTTGTAACACTGGTGCTTCAAAATAGATCTGACTTTACTTGTCAGTAAAGTTAGCTTCGTGTCAGCTTCCTATTTTTTCATGGCAATACCTATTTTAATTATTATTTCTAGATCCTAAGTGCAACAGGACTTAAAAAAGAGGATATTGCCATGTGGGAAATCAACGAGGCATTCAGTGTGGTGGTGCTGGCCAACATGAAGATGCTGGGTGTTGATCCACAAAAAGTGAACATTCATGGTGGTGCTGTCTCTCTTGGACATCCTATAGGGTATGTAAAATAAGCAACTCTGGCTTTTTGTTCTGCACAGAGTAGGATTTATATATTTATATATACACAGCATTAATGCATTTAATTCTATTCTGGCTAGGGGAGAGCTGTTGTAGAACAGAGCAAGTAACTTGCTCATGCTGCAAATATATCTCATTAATCCTCCTTAAAGGTGATCAGGCTGCAAAGCTCAGGTCTGTGAGGGGGGGGAAAAAAATCTATTATTTCAACCCCCCTTAACTAAATCCAGACAAGAAACACCCACTGGGTGCCCCAGCAGCAAGTTAGAGCACCTCTTCGTGTAGACGTTTGCCATCAAAGCTCACATCAAGGCAAGATCTCTCAAGCCACACTGGCCTTTCCATCAGCTTCCTCTGCCAAGGGAATAGGATTTTTGTATCAAAAGAAAATTTCAGCAGCAGAATTTGCAGTCTGCTGCTGTTAGCGAGGTCGCAGCAGCGCATGGTGTCCAGCCGTGCCCAGAGGAGAGGGTTTGCACGGAGCTCTCTGCTGCCTGCCCTGGTGCAAGGGAGCAGGGTGGGAGGGTCTCCCTTTCCAGCCAAACGCCGCGTTGTGGTTCTGTAGCTACCAAAGCTCCTCTCGCTCGAGAAGCACCAGAGCTGGAGAAGCAGCAGCCCCTCTTGCTTACGAGTGACGAGGCGGCGCGGGGGGGTTTCCAGGGAATCTGTGCTGTTTTGTGCCCCCTGTTGTGTTGTCGAACGAAGCGTTTCCCTGTGCCTACGCTCCGCTTGGTTCCCTGCAGCATGTCCGGCGCCAGGATCGTTGTGCACATGGTGCACGCGCTGAAGCAGGGCCAGTTGGGCCTGGCAGGAATCTGCAACGGGGGCGGAGGAGCCTCTGCCATCCTCATCCAGAAGCTCTAACCCCACAGCTACCTTGCTCAGAAGGACGACCTGTGTATGTTACACCTTATTTATGAATAAGGGAAGGAATTCTTTAACTGCTACTATGCTAAACCTTCTTAAAACATCATTTACTATCAACGTGGGCAACTGGGCTTTTATTATTTTAACCCAGCGTGTTTTTATACAGGACAAATGAAGAATGTCAAATTATGATAATGTCAGCTCTCATGACAATAAAGAATGTTTCTCCATGCTACGTGTGGCTCCTCGGGTCATGACTTATGGGGCTGAAAATTAATTCCATTAAGCCCTACAATGCTACTCCCTGATCAGCTAAGTCTACGGTCCTGAGTGGAATGACTCCAGTAGCTGCTTTAAAGTTGCTCCCAGCTGCTGCGGGACCCTGCTCACAGGGCTGGGGGAAGCCTGAGCTGCAGCCTGGCTGCAGGGTTGGCTTTCTGCCTTCTCGCTGCTCTTGCAAGGCAGAAGGAGCCTGGCTGGACCCCATGTTTAATGTGGCTTCACGGACAGTATCAAAGTAAAAGCAGAAGTCACGGGGATGTAGCCCACAAGCAGCAACATGGCAGAGCTGAGGAGGGTTTAGCCTCAAGACGCATTTTCCCCCTATGACACCCCCTTTTGTCAATAGCTTTTGAATAGAGGCAGATTCAGGACTAAGGTCAGTGCAAATTCTTCTGTTGTCCTTTCCCCTAAGAGCAGCTAAAGGGCTGGCTGCAGTCTTGAATTCACCATTGAGTTAAAGACTTAGAATTCATTTTGCAAGTATGGGGAATGAGGAGGGAATGAATCCTGTTCCAAGAGTTTATTGAAAAGTTGAGGTAGTTCCTAGGGGCTGCCCTTTGCTGGAGAGTAGACTCTTTTACTCATCTGTTCTAAGTCTCAAGCCTACTGAAGTGCAGCAAGAGGGGGCAGGAAATAGACTGTTTTTCCTTCTGGGGCAAGAAAGAAAGTTGTAGAGGCAGCTACAGAGCACTGGAATTTAAGTGCCACCTACTAAGAAAATCAACCTTTTCAGCCATGCCCTGATACCTGTTTCTGAGTGCTAGAAAATATTTGCCCACATGCCACCCTGCATCTGTGCACCGCTGGAGGCGAGTCAAATGTTTTTCTTCTAAAAACATAATATTAGATAATCTGATAATTGGGCTGATAGTTCAGTTGATGGTAATTTATTTAACGAGGCTCTACTGTCCCACAGCCCTGTTTTTCATTAGACAGATACCAGCTGTCCCAGCCTGCAATAAACAGCCAATTGTGGTAGAACCATCCCCGAGGAGCAGCTGGACCTTGGCCTGTGCCCCCTCTTAGGCCCGAAGCAGCCCCCTGTGCCCCAGGCAGCCAGGCAGTGCCGGTGCCTCCACGGCCGCCCTTCCCACCAGCCACCCGGGTGGAGGGGAGCAGTAAAGAGGGGCTCCTCCTCTCCAGAAACAACTGATTTACAGCCCCACAAGAGCCACAACACTGCTTGCTTAGTTTAGTCAGGCACGTAAGACACACAGAGCTTCATTAAAACAAAAATATTTATTCAAGCTGTAAATGCTATGCAGTATTAAGTCGTTGGATGGGTTTAATATAAACATTACTGCATAAGAGTGGTTCCTTAGGAATCCGTGTATGTTACCTTGAATCATTGCCCTGTTGCTGTATCCATCTCTCACAAGAAAATGTGCACTTGTTGAGACCTTCACAATTTGAGAATGGAGGAAGAAAGAGCAGCAGAGAAAATGGCTGCACTTGTGTCTAACTTCCATCAAGTTAGTCCTACCCTGGAGCTCAAGCTTTTCCTGGATCTGTTCTGAAGAGAGGTGTAGAGCAGCTGTGACCAAGGTCCATGTTAGATGCAAGTTCTACTGTGTCTCTGTCTAACAGCACAAGTAACAACCTCTTTCTCAACAATACAAAAGATGAAAAATTTACATTTGCCCTAGAGCACTGTCAGTTCTGGTCCAGCCCTCACAACAGTTCACATACTTTAAAAGGGGGGACCTCCAATATGAGTAACTCCTGCACTGAAAAGATACCATATGGAACAAGCACTGTATGAAGTCTTAGAAACAGGTGAGGCCTATCCAAAGGTAGGTTTTGGCCTGAGTGGTTTGAGAATGTTTCATTAGAACAACTTTTGCCTTAATGTTTTTAATAATTAATTCAAAGCCTTAAACATGGATTTTTACAACTAGAGGATACTGCCAGTGCAAGCCAGGTGCATCAGAGGCTGCCTGAGGCTTCAACCAGACAAGGAGAGTGGCCGGAGTCGCTGTTGTGCCTCACAAGAGAATTACAGACGTTGCCTCCAGATTCACCCCCTTCTCACAGAGTCACAAAGCAGTTCAGAGGGGTAGGTAGAGAATGCAGCAAAACACAGACAACGTGGTGTGTAACAGGAAACTTACAACTTTTCTTACATTACATTTATACAAATTTACAGTTTTGCAAATTAAATGGCTCTATAATTATGCAAGTGCTTTTTTCAAAAATAAACATATACCAATTCAATGATATTTACAGACTTAGCAACCTGCCTCCGAACAGCATGATTTTGCTATAAAGTGAATCTTCAGTGCACCGAAAGTGCAACTCACCCTTTAGAATTAATTTCCCATGCAAAACCTCAGCACAAGAACCCCGGGCTTTGTACAGCCACAGTTCAAGTCTCTATTCATCGTAATGCAGCGATAACAGGAACTTGTCCACATCCATTCCTGCTGGAAAAGAATTTGGCAGCTTCTTTTTCTGTTGGAGAAGAACAGTTGCATTAAATACCAGGAACTCGAGGACACTGAAGCTGTCTGTAAACACTTTCTTTATCCTTCCCCATTTGCACTGTAGAAATAACTGCATGAAACTCTCAGACACTGGTCCCAAATGTCTATGTGCACCCCCATGAGACTGTCCCATGATGAGGGGACAGGAGCAGCCAAAGTTTTCAGCTACAGCCTTAACCCCCCCAGACACAGTGGGACCTCAGCCATGCCCCTCAGCTCTTGTAACACCCACCCACCCTGCACAGAGCTGGGCGTTTTGCATGTGTGGCACTTCAGGAGTGCAGGTAACTACGCGGGGTCAGTTACAGGTGCGTCTCCTTTTCAGTTATTACATACATGATGTTTTAATGTCTCACCTATACCTTTGCTATTTGCCCTTAAAGCAAGCCCTCCTGTTAAAGGCAAGGTTTTGTAGACTGCAGCGACTGGCACCGCACATTTCTGGTCCTGGTGGTGACAGGAAGGAATACAAGAATAGCTGGACTTTTTTTTTTTTTAATGCTCAATCATGTTTTAAGGAAATTCTTTCGATTTTCACAGATGTGCAGACAGCAATGGAAGTTACTTGTGTATCTGAGTGCTGTATCTGAGCAAATCTTAAGAGCAAATCTGAGCTTAGTTGAGAATGGGCTTGAGGGATAAAGTTAAAACTTATACAGGATGTCAGGGATGCAGATTATAACAACGTGGCTGGCAGGGAGACCACCACCTTATTGAAAGAAAGTTTTAGCCTGCTATGCATTGAGCATTCTCCATTTAAGCAGCAGATGCCAGTACTTGCCTTGATTTTCTTCTTCTTGGAGGGCGTGGGGGAGCCCTGGAGGTCCCTCCGGCCGGCAGCGCGGGGGTTCCTCTCGCCCTCGCCCAGCTCCTCCAGCTTCCTCTTCTTGAGGGCGGCCCTGGCGGGGCGCAGCTGCTGGGCGCTCTCCTTGAGGGGGCTGGCGCCGCTGCTGCGGGCCATGGCGGCGCGCGACAGGATCATGAGCGTGTGCGCGGCCATGCTCACGCTGTTCTCGCTGCCCGTCTCGCTGGCGGGGCTGCAG